TCGTGTCTTTTGGGCATTAATGGGTTAATCAATTATTACCATTCAAAGGCTGGATTCCTCTCAGCAGACTTATTATTGTGTTTATCTTTTAAATCCTATCATTATACAATCGATAATTTGTGTAGTGAAGCGCCAGTTTATTTTCAGTTTATTTTTGCTTTCAGTAAGTACATTACATATAAATCCTAATAATAACAAATATATTTTTGAAGTTGATTTAGAAGTATGGTTTAGAAAAATGCATTTATTGTAATTTTCATTTTCAGATTTTTCTATATTTATATTGGGGTATATGAGTTACTTTTGCGCTTTCGCATTGTCTTTAATGATAGAAATACCTTATATTTTATTAATGTGAATGTTCATTCAATATATCAATATAAAAAAATATGATATAAACAAGAGGAAAAAATTATAATTACATATTCAGATATGTAATATTGCAGTTCTATAAATAATAAATGTGAACGATTCCCTTAAACAAAATTTCTTTAAGGAATTAAGAAAAATGTTATAATTATATACCAGGTAAAAATTTTTTTATATAAGGACATATATAAATATAAAATATATATAAATATATACAATTAAATATAAACGTATATAAATATATTGTAAATAATTATATTGTATATAAATATATTGTATAATTATATACGAAATGTGTTCATATTAGAATCTTTCTTTCATAAAATTTCTGTTTGTTCCAAAAAAAATAATATAGTAATAATGAAAAACCAAAAAATAGTTAAAAAAGTAATTTTCGTCTTTGTTCTTGTACGGAAAATTAAGTTTGAAGATATGAGAAAAAATTGCGCATATATAATCATATATATTTTTTTATTAAAATAAAGTCATATATGAACAATTTTTTCTCATTTCTTCAAATTTAACTTTTTGTAAAAGAAACAATGCAAAAATTATCTTTTTAATTATTTTCTATTATTACTATTATTTTGTTACTATCATTATTTTTCTTATACTAAACAGAAATTTTATAAAAGAAGGAAACTAATGTGAACATATATATATATATATATCCTATATAATTATATATATTTATATGTATATATAGATTTATGTATATTTATATATATTCTTGCATAAAAAATTTTTACTAGAAATACACTTAAGCAATTAAATAACATTGAATTTAATACCATAACTGTTACAATTATTTTTTTCAGTAACGAATACATAACGATTTTTTATTTTTTTCATAATTATCATTTTGTTTGGATAATGAGAAATAACATAATGATAAAAAATAATATAGATATAATAAAAATATTTTAAATAAAATTATTTATTATTAAATTATAAATATGTGTATTGTGGATTATGAAAAATATAATAGTAAATTATAAAATTAATATTGTATAAGATAACTGTTGAAATTTTAACAGCTATGCAAACCATGGTATAAGGAGACAAGGTGTGCTCGTCAGGTAAACCCAATTTAAATCCTATTGCGCAGATGTGGCGTTGGAACAAGTCACCTTCCATATTGGAAAATAAACAAATTTGTGACTACGTGACATGTGATTTGATAATAGAGAATTTAATAATTATTAATAATAATAGTCACAATAGTGGTTCTCAATTAAATAAATTCAATAATTGTCCTTTCCTTATTTATACTACATTTTGAATATCGCAAGAAAAATGTTGATTGGCTGATATACTAATATGGCCGGCTACTTGTTCCACCATCCTCGTTGATCCATCTTCATTTTTATGCACACCTTGGGTTCCAAGGTTCCTCTTTATTCTCTCCGAGTGCTCATGCTATGACGTAATGGAAATATACTGCGAGTATCATTCCGTTTTAGTTTCGTGCGCTTTCTAACTGCTTCAAGATTATAAAACGGAACACAGTTGCAGATATGTAGTTTTCAACAGAGACATAATAGACTCAGCATTAGCTATATATATATCAGTCCTTGGCAGAACGGTGCGAGAAGCAAAATATAAGGGAAGTTTTTTCTTTCTCTCTGCGCAGATAAGATGCGCGATGATCTATTGACAGGTTATATGATAATCGTGATAGTTATATCGTGGATAGTTATATCGTTCTTTATAGCTTTACTCTATTAAAATTTTTTTTCTCGTATTCAATAAACTTAAAAATATATTATTTCATTTTAAATACAAATATATTGCTATGAATATCAGATGATTCTCGAGTAGGCCATTTTTATTTGTCAATAATGCGCGCGCAGTAAAGGACAGATATTTCCCGATATTTCGCCTCTCTCATCGTTCTGCCAAACCCAACTGATGGTATAGAAAAGTATATGATATGCGGAATCTATGTTATATGTCTATGGTTTTCAAGCT